GGTAATCCCTGCTCTGTGCTACTGCCCCACACTGCATGGGGGGCTCTGCCATGAGCCCCCAAAAGCCCTGATGGCCACTGCAGCATCTGGTGAGTACAGGGCTTGTTATTTTTAAAAAGTCCTGGGGCTTTTCTCCATTTTTCTTAAAGGGCCGGAGCTGGCCCAGGCAGGGCACCCGTTGGGGGAGCAGTGGGGGATCATGCAGAGCCCCCCATGCAGCATGGGGCAGCGGGGATTCCCCCCCCCCCCACCTGGGAGCACCCAGTGAGCACCAGGGCTTTTTTTTAAAGTACAGAGCTGAGGCAGGCAGGGCACCCATGGGAGGGCTGGGGGGTGGAGGGGTTGGGAGAGCTGGCAGGGGTCCCTCCCATGGTCCCCTCCCAAGCCCCTAGTAGTTACCAGCTTGGAGTCAGCTGCAGCTCCCTGCTGCAGCCACTGGGGACTGCCCGAATCAAAGCTCTCTGAACCTTTTCTGAAGAAAAGACTTCATGGAAAAATCAGAGCTTCCCCTACCCCCTTTGCTCACCACAAAGCAGGTTCAGCTGTGGCTGTCCCCCATGCTTCTTCGTGATGCTGAGCCACCCTGATATACCAGTGCCCTGCCCCTGTCCATGCCATTGCCGCTCAGTCCCAGTCCACAGCCCCTACCCCCATCCCTCTCCAGCCCTGCTGATGCCCCTCACTCCTAACCTGCAGCTGCCCAACCCTGCCAGTGCCCCTTACTCCTGACCCCATGCCCCAGCCCCCCTCAGTGTGTGCGGGGGGGGTGGCAGTGGGTATGTGTGCATAGGCAACACCATACATGACGTGTCAGGATGGCATGGGGAGGCACATACCCTCTCAGATTTCTGTGCCCACAGTGGGGCATGGGGCTACAGTCTAGCCAGAATGGCACCAGGCAGGAGGCACCTCTGTGGCACAGCTGGTAGGATTCGGTGAGGGAGAGTGGAGGGGGGTGGGAGGTTCAATGCTACTGCTGCTGCCGGGAGCATCACACCACCATGGCTACCAAAATGAGCACCCCCACCCCACCCACTACTGCAGTGGGGGTGGGGACACAACTCCTTGCTGCCTCCCCCACAGCACCTCACCTTGATGGCTATGGAAGTGTGCTGCTCCCAGCAGTGGCAGCAGCACTGAGCCTCCTCACCCTGCTCTGCCCTCCTATGCTGGGTCCCACCCACTAGGTCACTAGGCACAGAAATCTGGGGGGGGTATTTATACCCCCATGCTCCCCCAACGCATTGTCCATCGGTCTGACCCCTCCCTGCAAGTGCACACAGCAGCAGGGAGCCACCCCTTCCCCCCAAGACAAACTGCCCATGGCTCCATCCCACTCCTGAGCTGGGCCCTGCAGCTGAGCATGCCCACTTGTGCTGGCCCCACAGGGCCCCAGGCACTGTGCACCATCCTATCTGGGCAGTGCCCCCAGCCCCAGCTGCCAACTGTTAACCCTGCTCCACTCCCTCCCTCACTGTGCGGGCTCAGCATGAGCCACCACTGCTGCCGCCTCCTCCCCACAAGTTGTGCCCCCCACTGTGCCCCACCATGTGTCACCTATTTCCAACCCTTACTCCCCCATAGACTTACCTGCAGGGAGATGTGGGAGCTGCTTTCCACCATGCTGCCTGGCTGTATTGCTAGCCATGTGCATGTGTGCACACATACACGCATATGGCATCCCCTGCCTCTGATCACTCTCCTCGTGCTCCCCCCAGCTCCAAGCAGCCCCTTGCAGGCTGAAACTCTGTCAGCCTGCAAGGGGAAACCTATGGTTTCCTGGGTTTTTTGTCTTTAAAAGGAGAAAATCCATGTTTTTCCATGAAAAATGAAAAACCTGGATCCTGGTGGTCATTGTGTAAAACAATAAGACCAGAGCCTCTAAGCACTAACATCAAAGGTGCAGACAAATCTTTTTCTCAACACCCAGCCTGAGTAAGAAGTCTGTGAGGCGAGAAGGTTTCAGCTCACCGAACAGTAGCAGAGCTGCTCTGCACTAGAGGGGGTCCACAGCTACAGTTCCACTTCCATTTCCAGTGCCTTTTAAACCTTGGAGTATGAGAAATCCCTGAAAAGTTAGGTTTAAATGTGTGTGAACTCTATGTGCATGCATGGCCCTATGTTCTAGTACTTTGAGGAACCACACAGGAGTGAGATGTCCCTGAATGTATGGATGGTGCAGAGAAAGAGATAACCCACTGGTTTTTGACCTTTTTAGACTTGAGGCACCCTTCATTAAACTCAGGGCACCCACTAGAACATGATAGCTCTTAGCTTTCACACCTTTTTGTCTACAGAAATAAAATTAAGCAATTTCTCTGTTGCAAAGAACTCAGACTACAACAAGTCAAAATGGTTTTGATACTATAGATTTGTATTTGAAAACCCTGGGTTTATCTTGTAAATCTCATATAGGTATTTGCACATTTAACAGTGCTAACATTGCATGGCACCCGTAAAAGGACCTCACAGCACCTCAAGGTGCCACAGCACTCTGGTTAAGAATCACTGAACCCATAGATGGAACGAAGGGGGAGTGGGACAATATCCTAGATGAACATCCTTTGTTTATCTTACATTTAAGCCAATTACAGACATTACCCTTTTACTGGTATAAGTGATCAGAAACTGGTCTATACCTGTAACATAACAGAAGTTTGGCGCACACAGACTGGTTTAAAAATGGCAGAACCAGGTTTAAGATTGCCCTTTGGTGGGGGGAAGTGGGGGTAATGTGTGTTCTTTTCACTATGGATTTAAACTATGATGTTTACAGAAAATCATGCAACTTAGATCGATTCTGCCTCGGGCTTTTTCAGTGTCTGCATCTAGCCTTAATATATTAAAAGAAGCAATTGAGGACAAATGGTTTTCTCTTCATTTGGTGTATGTGGTAAATCATTGCCTCTATTTTTTCTAACAGCATGATCCAGCACAAAACCTTGTCTATTATTGCACCTCCACAGCTCAGCATTCACTATTATACCACATACACTGACTGACCCAGAAAAGTCTTTGGGATATTTCTGCCACTGCCGTATAGTGACTGTAAATGTTTCCTTTTAACCCCCATGACTTCTCCAGCACTTCTTATCCACAAAATATTTCTCTCATACTCTCTCTAAGCACTCAAAAGAAAAACTCTTGCATGGCAAACTAATCCCAGTGATAATCTGTCCAATGAGAAGAAGCCATAGGTAAGATTTACAGCCTTAGAAGTTTGTTCATAAGTAGTTTACACAGCACCTTATTAGTTTCCAGGTTGTTTGGATAACATGACTATAGAGGATCCTGCTTTATTTTGCTTCAGTATGGGTGCGTCTACACATGGCCATACGGTGCTTTTGTTATTGCGCCATCATTTAGTACTTCCTTTTGGAATGAAAATTTAATAATTTGGCAAGAAGGAAGCAAAATTCAACACCCTGAGACCTGAAAGCTGACACCCTTGCTCCAGCCTTTTGTTTTGAGCCAAATTTGCATGCTCACGGAGCAGCCACAATTCAAGAAAAAATCCTTGCCTAGGAGAGCCTTCCATCATTCATCCTCCTGTGAAATATGAAACATCATAACAAGAAAGAAGCATAATTCAACATCCTGCTTGCCATCAGACAACTTGGAAGTAAATAGGCTGCTCCAACTTTTACCTGAGCCTATTTTGCATAAAATGAATTTTTCCAGCCAGGAGATCTTATACCACCTTTCAGCTCTCCTGTGAAATAGAATTTTCATTTCCACTTGGGAGAGGTTTTACAATCTTTGCACTCTCCTATGCCTGAGAGGGCACAAGTGTGCCCAAAAGCTTGCCAATAAAGACTTTTTTTGCAACTATCCAATTGGTCTAATAAAAGATATCACCTCCCTAAGAGTTCTGATTACAGTAACAGCCCGTACTGTGCCATGCCAGCCATGCACAGTTATTTTTGGCCACTACATTGCCGTAGCAACATGCTCCCTCGTTATAGTACATTGCTACGGCAATGTAGGAGCAGCATCATGGTTTTTGCCAATGGACACTATGGTACCATAGCGTATCACTACAGTGTCTTAGCATCTTGTGTAGACCTGCCCTATGTGTTGCAATAATTAGCAATTGCTATTCAGTTCATTGCCAGTATTATGAAATTCTGCAAAATACCTTGTCAGAAACTCAGCGTTTTTGTTTATTTTCTTCCATAAGAGAGTCTTACACAAAAGTTTGATAGAATAGCAAGGATTTGGGATCTTTTTTCCCCTCTATTATTTCAATTGTGGAACCCTGTTGCCAGATGCCTCACCTTCAGGGAAGTCACATTTATATGCTGAACTGTTTTGCCTAGTTTCCTGAAGACACACTACTATAGCATGTATATTTAAAATTTTGCTATTTCTGAGTGACCTTAAGCTGGTGTGTACTCACCAACCATCCCCATTGTATTTTGAAACTGAAGCAATGTTTCAAAACGTTTATAAGATAAAGAAAATAATCATTTCTATTTGTGTCTTGTTTTGCAATATTTGTGTTTTAAAGATGTATTGGAAGGGGATCCTGAATAAATACATGATTCCTATAGTTGAGGACTTTGTCAGTATTTGTCAAATGTCTGTTGCTGTTTTTGTTTAAAGAAACAAGCACGTGCATGCGCATGCCTACACACACAAAAATTCTGAGCCACAAAATAAATTACACCAGAGTCTGCAAATTATACCAACCCCATTTTTCAGCACAGCATATATAATTCACATGTAGAAAAAGAAGCTAATGTTTTTTAGATGAGAAGTAATGCCATTGGGTATCTTTTCCTGATAAATTGCAGGTGGCCACAAAGCAAGAAAACTTTCTTAAAATACAGATTAATTGCTGTTATTGAAACAGCTAAAGTGGAGAGATCTGACAGGCATATTCTCAATCGTCCAGATGAAGATTTCTCAAACACTGCAGCCCCTGCATTAAAATGAATGATTGTGCTCAAATTGCTTTTAAGAACAGACATGTTAACAGGCATATTTATGTCAATTACTTTAATCTTGTGCTGGGAAACTGTCTTCTTGTCGTCGCGTTCTTTATATTTGCCACAGTATTTAGAGGCTTGTGTCTAACAAACTTCCATGATGAATCTGTCTTGTCAGTCTTATGAACTTGTTATTTAACTGTGAAAATATAAATAAAATACAACAGGAGTTGGTCTGGTGACTCAAACTTCTCATAATTCTTCAGAATGGAGAAGAGCAAGAATTTGAAGCGTCTTGCATCTGCATTCTCTCAAAGTGGTTTCAGGAGCTCTGTCTTTTACTCATAAAGGAAAGATGATCCATTACTCCTCAGACAAAAGATAGCTTCTACCAGAAGCACACCTACCTTCTGAATTTCTTATTGAGGGAGTAGTTTTTCCTCCATCCATCCATCCAAACCTCTGCAGTTCTGCACCTCAAACACTGCCTGAAGCATGTTGCTGTTAGAAGATTTTAGGGGGGTTTTTTGTTTGTTTGTTTTTTTATTATTAACTACAAGGCAATAGATTTTTTTCCTTTCCTACATCTATTCTTCAGCCAGTAAGCAGCACAGTCACTAGGGGCATTTATAGACATGCTCTGGGAGGTGGTGAGGGTTTTAATTAGTGCAGCTCCAAGAGCTATACTAATTTAAAGTGCCTGAAGCATCACACATGTCAGCATCCCTATGCACTTTGACCTAAAGCTCATTGAACTAGCTTTAGTTTAAAGCACCCCACTGCCATTTTTCAGCACAGGGGTTCTGATACATGTGATGCTGGAGTCCAGCAGACTCGATTAAGTTGAGTCCTGCTCCGACACACTGCAATTACAGCACATCAGAAAAGCCTCCCTGCACATGTATAGGAGCCCCTAAGTGTCTGTTTTTAGAGACTGATGAATCTTTGTTTAAAAACACAAGGAATGAGGAATCATAAATATTGTTACCTCCAGGGACTTATTTTATCAGAGGTATCAGAAAGGAGTTCAGTTATGAAGCTGAGGGCTAAGTACTGACAGTCAAAAAGCCCAAGGCTGAATTGATTCAATTGTCGCAGGTTAGTTTCAGCAGCATAGTTAAGCTATTAAGTAAGTGAACAGACATTCACTTTTGATTCCAGAAACGCAGCCACATGCCTGCAGTAGCCTAGGCCAGAAGCCAAGGGACACTAGAACACACTTCCCTGCTCTGCTAGAACAGACTGCTTGAATCTGGTGGAGATCTGGGAGAGAAGTTCGATTTAACGTAAGTCAGTTAAGCCTGATACTACCTCCATCCAGGTTTATATTAAACTGGTTTTGGCCATTTTGAAAGCAATTTATATGCACTGAACTTCTGTTGCATTACAGATTTGAACCAGTTTCCAGTCACTTATACCAGTTTAGGCAAAATGTCTGTCCCTAGCCAAAAAGACTAGAATATGGAAGGCTAATCTGCCAAGCTAAAATGACACTAAACAAAACTGATAGCAAACCTATGCTGTATAACCTCCGATTTCCTTACAACATCTCTTCAAATCTGAGCAAGTGAGCTCTGCTAATAATCCAGTTCAACATGTAACCAAAGAAATGCTTTCAGTGACCAATGGTATTTTTGGCATAATAGCCCAGAATTGTAAAAATCTTATGAGGTTCACCCATATATGCTGTTCATCTAAAGCCTGACTTTATCTTTGGCCATTGAAAGGAAAATATAGCTACAACATGACTTCAAAATTTGGAAGAGGGGAATAATGTAGGCCCTGGACAAGGTGGCTTGTTCCAATATATAATGTATGTAAATGTACTGCAGAAGAGGAATCATGTATTAATCCTTTTACATACAGTACACTTTGCTCTACAAGGACACAGATGGATATCTCTGTATCACCATGTCAACATTTCCCCCCCCTTCACTCCCCCACACCTAGGTCTCCCATGGCCTTTGATCCTCACTTCCAGCATTTTCACAGACCTGCATTTTGCATATTGGCTTCTATTCCATCCAGAACACAAAATACCAGCAGACTTCCCATGCCTAAAGAAAGGTGTTGTGCCTGAAAGGTGTTGCAAAGAACAATTTTTCCAACTATTTGGAACAGTAATAAATTATATAGGTCTAATAAAAGATATCAGTTACCCAAAGACCCTTGTCTTGCTATGTCCTTAGACCAACATGGCTACAACCAACACCATTGTAAACATTAAAGTGTTTTCTGCTTAACCACAGAATTAAAAAAAAAAAAAAAGGGGGGGGGGGGGGGAACTTGTATAACACCATTTCAGGGCACAAAGGCATATGACATAAGCAAACGGCTCTGCTAATATAGTAATGAACCATCCTATATAGTGCTTCACACTGGGTGCTTCTACATATGTAGATTTACTCAGCAGTAACCAAAATTACTGTGCAGTACAGGCACACATCTACACATGCATGCTCATACTGCACAGTAAATATGGCAATTTATACTGACTCGAGCGTAGTTACTGCTCAGTAACACTAAAGTTAGTTCCAAGTCAGTCCACACAGTGCAAATGCACTTCAACTCCTGCACATTTAGACGCCAGCCTGTTCCCTCTTACTGCACAGTAAATTTAAGCTGGCATAAATATACATGTAAACTACTGCACAATGGGTATTTCTTCTCATTGCCTTCAGCTGAGGGGCTCCAGGGCCAGACTGTTGCAAATGAGGGGTGATTAAGTATGTAACTAATATTGAGCAGCAAGCAAACCCAGGATTTTGGAGCATTAGTTTACTATGGATGAACAAGAGGTTAGCTCTATCAAGGATTGACAAAAATGCATCTCTTTTTGGGAGAAGCCATGATTAATAAAGAGCTGTACAAATTTGAACAGATACTTTACTTACCTGCCACCTGTTTTCCTGACTTGGTAGAACTCATGAGGAGCTATCCCTCCTGACTGGGGTGAGGTTGTAATAAACACAGTTTATATTCATACAGGAATGCTTGCACGGAAAACATAAGTAGTACGTTGGTTTGCTTGAGGTTCAGAAATAACCTTAAAGAGTATTTTAGTCACTGCAGAGCTGAACATGGATCTAAAGAGGCCTCATCAGTTTGTGCCTGATCAGTTTTCTGGCTCCATGGGATTCAGTGGTCTGCAGGACATTCAGTTAAAAATCCTGGCTAAAAGGACAGTGCTGCTATTCTTGCATGTTGTATATATTAGTTTCCAGAAACAATTCAGGGAACATGCAAGTATGTCTGTCAGATTCTGACATGAAGGTATGGCAAAGTGGGCTTCTCTCAGGCCAGCTGTCAACGGCCTCCCACCTGCCTCTAGGCACGCCACCCACCTGTCTCACCCACCACAACTTGCTGGAAAATTAGTAAGTTGTTAAATAAGACGGGAGGCTGCCCATTTTTCTTTGCACTCCGATATAGGGGGCATCTGCAGCTCCATACCACCTCTACACCATGGCCCAAGCCTCGCAGATGGCATCCAGATGTTAACAGTCACACCAGCCCCGCACTAGGCTCCAGAATCCTCCTGACAGGACCCTCCTTTGATCCCTCCACTCCAGCAACCTATGCCACCTTCATCCGGGCTGCCAAGCTCCTCATAGCTGGCTCCCCTCTCAGGTGTGGTCCCCACTCAGGACCTTCAGCCATACACAGGCCCTGGCCTCACCTCAAAGGCCAGGCGGGGTCCCAGGCGCATGACTGTGGGTGCCCCTCGCAGTGGGCACCTGGGGCTTTTTTGACCTTCTCGATCCAGACCCCAGCATGGGCCAGTCGAGGGGACACTCTACCTCCGGCCCCACTAGCCTCACGTTCTCTCCAGGTCCCCCTTCCTGGATGTGGGGAGCTGAGGTAACTCACACCATGACTGGTGCCCCAAGGTCTCCAGGACAGCAGGTCTTGGTGCTACTATGGATATTACATTCGATCCACACTCTGCCTCCCAGCAGTGGAGGGCTTACCGGGGTCAGGACTCGCCTCTCTCACTCTAGGGCTGAGCCCCCATTTACTCGGCCCCTGGCCCAAACCTTGGCCTCAGGCATCCGGGGACTTACCTGGGCCTACTCCCCTTGCTTGGGGCTCCACATCACCCCCCTCACTTGGGGCTCCAGATCTCTGCCCCTTACTAAGGGCTACCCTCTCACTGGGGTTCCACCACTCTGCCCCTCACTTGGGGCTACAGATCGTGGCCCCCTTTGCTAGGGCTCCCCCCTCACTGGGGTCCTAGTTTCCACCCCCCCCTCACTTGGGGCTCCAGACTGCCCCTTCACTCAGGGCCATGGGGTTTGCTCCCTAGTGGGCTCAGGTGTCCATAGCCGTGCCTGGCCCCAATCTTCTCTCTCGGAGTCTCGAACTCCCGTAGAGCTCAGGCAGCCTCCGCCATACCTGGCCCCAACTCTCCCTCTTGGGGTCTTGCACCCTGCAGGGCTCAGGCAGCCTCAGCCATACCTGGCCCCCACTCTCCTCCTTGGGGCTTGCACCCCTACAACTACCTCCAATAGAACACAAACCCACCCAAAGGTGAGGACTAGAGTTAAGGCACCCCTGCCTGCCTTTCACCAGGGTGATAACTGGCCTAGCATTTCCTGGGGGCTCCTGCAACACTGAGAGCCCCACCAGGCCACCCATTCCCAGCAGAGTGCAGTTTTAGGTCATACCCAGGACCAGGAGCCTCCTGACCATCCCCTACAGCTCCTCCCTTACCTCCAGATGATATCTACAGCCAGGCAATGTTGTTGCCTGGCCTCCAGCAGCAGAACTGCCCTGTTTATATGGGCAGCCCTAGATCCAAAATGGCTGCCCTCATCAGGCACCTGTTCGTTGCTAGCTTCAGGCCCTTAAAGTTCAGGCCTTTAAAGTGGCAGGCACCTACAGTGCCCTGCCACAGAAGGAATGTGAGGTTTCCCAATATCTTGGGAATGCACTCCTTTCCTAATCCACTATCCTCATACAGTGATTGTGTTAATTGTCTAAGCAAGAATCCTCTTTGGACTTGGTCTATTTCTTTTTCCCATCCCCAGGTGGCTTACATTCAACTAAAGGTTTTAAAATCCACTTACATCATTTTTCTGATTCTAGAAATAGAACACTGATTGGAATCTCACAATATGGTTGTTATATATTATAGCCTGATATATATATACTATAGACTGATACAAACTTTTTATTATAAATTGGACATTAAATTCCTTTTGAATTAGAAACTGATTCCTTATTTAAAGGAAGTAGGTGAGGTATGTCCAAAGCAGTGCAAAATTTAGGTTGAAGGGCTGGTAGTCATCTCTTCCTGGAACATTTACTGCCATATATGAGCCACATAGCTGCCTAGCCTCTCTCCCCAGCTGTCTGAAGAACTACCTGGGAAGTTGGTACCAGCATTTTGCCTGGCATCCAGTGATTGCAGAGATTACAGGTAATGCTCACTGCACACAGTAAGTATAGATTACACTGGTGGATAGAATATCTTGTATGCTTGTTA